CTTCGGAGTCGGGCTTTTTCGCCACAATATGAAAATAAACTCATGCAGTTTTTAGACAACAAGCTTTCATGCAAAATTATCAGTAATTTTGAAGCACTTGTGCAATTACCCCCGATAATTTTCTTAAATAAAATAATATCTTATACAAATGTAGATACCTACCTGTACCCAATTTAAACACAGCTTAAAGTAAGTCAGTATACTACTAGTAATAAGCAGGCCGCAAACTACAACAAAACTATATTGTGAGTTTCACTTGATTTTTATTATAAGCTCAAATGTCAAGTTCAAGCTTTCCAATTAAAGCTTATTTATCTCATTTGCCTATTTAGCAAGAGAATGCCATTAATTTTTTACAATAGTGCACCAAGTTCCCGGAAAAGACCGAAAATTGTTGATGTATATACATTTTGCTCTGTACTATTACAGAGCGCTCTAATAACTCTTTTAAGGAAGCAAGAGGAATGGTAGGCACCAATGAGTTAAAGAACCAGCAAAAAGCCTCTGTCAAATTATGAATATATCCAGTGCAGATTTATAACTTTCCATGCAGGTGGGTAAATTGTACGATGCGGAGTAAGATATGAAATAGTGCACGTCGCTTGGGGCTTTTTGATTTATTAGCGGTCTTCATTAAATACTGGTGGTTTTCCGTTTTACCACACATCAAATTACCGCTTCCCTGTCGTAAATAAGGAATGTGCGAAAGAGCAAACGCGAAACAGTGAATATCATAATTTATGACGAAAATATTACATGTTATTAGAAGAATTCTGACGTGTCCTTCATTGACGACAAACTGATCAGAATCAAGGTAAAATGTTGAATTATAGTTTACACAGCTTTTTTTCATCCCAGAGTGGCTGTTGATTAGTAAATTTCCAGAAATTTAGAATCCGACAGATAAGGACTGAAACGTTTTTTATCACTTTATTCGAATTGTTTTGGCTTCTTTCCTAGTTTTTTAGTTTTCTCAATGCTTGGTTTCGAAGATTTCATAACTAGATCTCTATAATTGAAATCTGCGCAAAAGCTGACCCTCCCATTGTCCGTATTTTTGACGTAGATTATATATAAGAAAAGACTGATATTATAAATATACAGATTGTACCATGGTGACCTAACAATTTGTCTTAAATACTGCATTTATATTTTATTGTTATTAACTAAAACTTTATTGCGTCTTGAGAGCTATAATGCATGAATAATAAATGTCGCAAAGCCACTTTACATAACATGGCAACTTATCTAACGTGTATACAGGGTGATTCACAACCGTATGGACACAGAGTAGGGGCGTGTCAAGGACCTCAAATCAGGTCAAGTTTCTATTTAAGTTTTTTTTTATCACACCCATGGTTAACGAGACACAGGGTGTTAAAGTTTCAAAAAATTTGGTATTTTCTGTTTAGCTCCTACAGTTTATAACGTGTTGCTCAAATTTTTAACGTAAGCTAATAACGTAAGCTAAGCCCCTTACCCGTAGGTAAGCAAACTGGTTGCGAAAATCTACAAGGTGATCTTCTTTCTAGAGGCATGCCCCCTTTAACCCCCCCGAACTTTTTTATGATGCGCCGCTGATTTCGACCGAAGAAATTTTTGATTTTGTTGTTCTATTCGAGAATTTATTTATCTCTTACAGTTTTTTGCTTTTTATTACAAAATAACGTAGGACAACATAAAAATTAACATTGACGCGAGAAATTAAACCACTGATGAAATTGTTTTAATAACAGACAACATGCTATGATGCAAACCCTGGTGAGGCAGCAGAAAGGGCAGGAGTAGAAATAAATATTTCAAAAACCCAGTGTATGACGAATGTTATCTTGAGTGATTTCATCAAAATTAACAACAATAACATACCTAGAACAATTAGGCCTATACATATCCCTGTGACACTAGATAAATATTGGAAAAGACAATCAAACACACGAAATAAAGCGTAGAATAGGTTGCGCAATGTGCGCGGCTGGGAAAAGTCAGAACAGTTTTCCGATCTAGTCTTGCAAGATGTTTAAAAAGGAAGATGTTTAACCAATGCCATCTCCCTGTTTTAATATACGGCTCAGAGACATTAACAATGACAAAGAACAACATTCAGAAAATATAAGTCATGCGCCGTAACATGAAGAGATTAATGTGCTATTAATTAATTAATTAATTAATAACCCTCCTAGATGGAATCCCAAATAGAACCATCAGACACAACACAGAGAGTGTTGGAGTAAGAGGGGTTGTTGAGATCATTCTGCGTATGAAGTGGAACTGGGCGGGTCATGTGTCCGGAGTAACCGATGGTCGATGGACTAAAAAATATTTCAATAGACACCGAGAATGGAAGCATATAGAAACAGAGGACGCCCACCAGGCTGATGGAGTGACGATATAAGGAGACTCGCTGGAAATTGGATGCTGATGCCACAGGACCGGAAAGAATGGCGAAATATGAGATTCTTTTGTCCATTGGAGGACAGTATAGGCTCATGATAATGAGTTGACATTTGAGGTTGTTAACAAACGTTGCCCTAGTATATTCCGTTGCATTTCAACCTCACTTTGTGTGTATTCATGGCAACTCGAGCTTTTCAGATTTAAGAAGTCACAGTTATTTGAACTAAATTCATGAGGGTGATAACCTTAAAACCAGTTGCCGTTCTTCTGATCTGGCTTTTGCAAAAATCTCAGTTTTTGATGAGAATTCCTATTTTTACTCTATTTTGTCTACTCCAAAAACATTCACAGACAACACCTCAGAAGAGTGACGTCAATTTTGAGTCGGTCTGTATAGGTCTCCCTTGGGCGATAAGGGCAATTGCTGAAAGAAGCCTTACTGAACCATAAGAACCGGAAATGTGAAAACCGTTTGAGAGAGCTGAATCCTGTGGACCAACGCATGTGACGGTTTGAAATGAATTTTAGTTAGTAAGTTAACTGTCTGCTAAACCGTTGGCAAATGTAGGTGGTTGTAAGTTATAATTGTAGTCATCTTTTGTCTTTAACCTAGATTGTATGTTTAACCTTATTGTAACTTTAATTTAGATTTGTATCTCGCTTCCAAATATCAGCAGTCATTATCATGGTTGTATCTGGCAACGTGGTGTTTGTAAAGGGAAGGGACGAAAAATTAATCCAGCAAGGTGACCCAGCGAAGAAAAATCAAGTACGAACGAGAGTCGAGTACAGTCAGTCATCCTTCCCAGTTCCACCAACGCCAATTTGACCACCGGGCCCACTATTTTCCTGCAGTCTGTTTTAGATTTCACCCGCCTGCTTGGAATCCGCACATATAGCTGCCTCCTGGTTCTCGACTGAGGATTTTGAACCACGATATTGGTGAAATGGATAGCCAGGGACAGTCTGTAATGAGCATGTGGAGCGGAAATCGGCAATACGAGGTGTCGGATTTTGTACTGTATAGACATTCAGACTTTCACTTCATTTGCA